CCTTAAGAAAAAAGGAAAAAATTGATCTCATACTTAAAAAAAAATAATAATAATAATAAATCAAAAAAAAAACGAAAAATAAAAAATAAAGATAACTTGTGTCTCCGTGACAAATATTGTCATGGAGACACAAGTCTCCGTGACACGGAGGCAATTGCCTCCGTGTCACGGAGACGTGTTTAGCCCTTTATGTAATTTTTTTTTCACGTTATTTTTTTGAAAGTATCATATTTTCTTTATTTTTTTCTTCTTGGTCGTCTGAATTCATGCCTCCCTTTCATATCAATTTTGTTTTTCATCGATACACATAATTTTCATATTTTTAACGTCGTAAATACAAGTTTTTCAAACCAATGAAAAAAATATATAACTCCTTTTTTTCTTCTTCGTCATCCGAATTCATGCCTCTCTTTCTTACTGTTTTTTTTCTTCTTCGACGTCCGAATTCATGCCTCCCATTCTTACTGTTACTTTTTCCTCTCGATCAATTAATTTTTTAAATAATCTAAAATGGTTAAAAAAGTGGTTTGGAAAAATGTGAAAAATAAATTTATGGTGAATTTTGCGCGAATTATGGTGAATTTTGGTATTTAACTTGCTAGAAATATGGTGAATTTTGCATCCACTGTTTGAATTGGCAAACTACAAAATTATTTATTAGACAATGCATTTTGGAACCACGTTCAAGCATGGCAAGTTACGATAATATAAGGACATTAAAATTAAACAAATTGATGAACAAACGTGTTAAATCGTACACAAATTTTGACAAATTTTTGTGCAATATCTTAAGGATACGATTTAAATCGTGTAAAAAAAATTTGTGCAATACCCTTAAGAAAAAAGGAAAAAATTGATCTCATACTTAAAAAAATAATAATAATAAAAAATCAAAAAAAAAACGAAAAAAAATAAAGACAACTTGTGTCTCCGTGACAAATATTGTCATGGAGACACAAGTCTTCGTGACACGTGGAAAGCTTTGTTCTTCACCAAGTGGAACATTTAAAGGGCCATGCTTTCTCGAGAGCTCGTGTATTAAAGCCTGCTGGAAAGAAGGTCATGAAGAAGGTAGATGCATTGGGTTTCTCATCGCTAAATGCAAATGCTATAGTTGTTGTTAAAGTGATCAACCTTGCCCCAGCAAGGATCGTCCAAATGCTATGTGACAAAACTGAGATGATATAGAAATAAAGAAATTTAGTATTGATTGTGGTGTATCCTTTAATATTCATCCTTACAAATAAAGTTTATGATTTATTGTTATTTGATTATTCTAAATGCAAAATTATGAATATACTTGCTTTTGTTGTTTTGATAAGCTTACACAAAATTTTGCTCTCATGTTCTAGGATAAGACATTGAAGCCATGGGCTTGACACAGAACTTGAAGAAATGCATTAAAAGAAGAATGAGAAAATGAAAAAAGGTTCCAAAGTAATATAAAAAAATAACTGATTTAAACACATTTAAAATATAATTTAATTAATAGTAAATTTTTGTACTGTTACTCAACATAGCCATATATATATATATATTTATGTATTAAATGGAATTTGTTATACAAGGTGCATGTTTGGCAAAGCTTAAAAAAACTCCTAAATTTTGAAAGTAATACTTAGCCCTTGTTTGGACTCCATTTAAAAAAAAAAATTGTATTTTTTTCAAAACTCATTTTAAGTAAGACATTTTGTGATAAAATGATGTTACACGTAAATCAAATTTTTTTTCTTATTTTTTAGTCAAATGATGGAATCCAAATAAGGGCTTACTTTATACCAACTATGTTTGGGAGTGATTTTATCCCTCAAAATTTGATTTTTGCATCACATCAGTCCCTGGGACATAACCTAGTGATGCAAAGGACAGGAGTGAGATTATCTCACGCCTTGCTGGCAGCCGCAGTGTGGGGTTCGATTCCTGAGACATGGAATTGGACTCCTTGTAGGCATAGTGTACATGCAGCTCTTGTTCCCTGACCTGTTGGGGCACATCTTTCGATTTACCTCCCTCACAAAACTCTAGAGGCGGGATAGTGGGAGCCCTCAAGATTGTGGTTCAACCTTTTTGTAAAACCAACTTTCAAGGTACAAATTTTGAAGAAAGTCACTTTTATCCCCATTTTCAAATCTTGTGCATTATTTGAAGCAAAGCGGTAAAAGGGTACAATTGGCAATGCAAAATGAATGCCACAGTTATATGTCACGTGAATGTCAAATTGAAAGGAATAAAGAAATGGATTGTAAGACACAATGGTCACTTTTCGGATTATAATTTTCCAAAGAATTGCGCCCAGTTAGAAAATTGAAGCCCCTGTTTGATAGGAATTAATATAAAAATTTTAATAAATTTGGATAAAAATTAATGAAATTTATATTTGAAAAATTTCGTGTCTATGAAATGTGTGATTAAAATTAATTGTTAACTTTGACTTAAATTAAAATCTGAATTTTAATTTTCACCAAACACCGACTAAATCTTGAATTAATATTAAGAGAAAGGTAGTCTATGCAATCATGTTGAAAATAAAAATTCAACTTACTATAACTTAACGGCTAATATTATAATTCACCAAAAACTAACCATAGATATACAATCATTCTTGCATTTTATAAGATACTATGTATTTTTAATAGTCAATTCTTAAAATTATATTCCAAGAGACTTGTTAAATTAACATTTTAATATAAAGAGTTAGATTGACTCTCTAAATTTCAAGAGAAAAATCCACTCTCTATAATTAAATACATTCA